CATCCTCTGCATGCAGGTGCTGAGCAAGCTGCGCTCTCCTTAGCAGGGACCCTTCCCGCTCAGCACCATGTGCCAGGGAAGCCCTTCTAGCACCGTGCGGCTTGGTCTTCTCCCCGCTCCTGCCGCAGGGTGACGAGCCGAGGGAAGCAGGGCTGACGGAGCGGAGCGCGGGAAGGCCAGGCGCCTTTGCGGACCCTGCGCCTCCTGCGTGCAACGGCACAATACGGTCATGTGAAAATGCGCACATCTGCTTGCAATAAAAGTGTCTGTGGGGCACGTAGTGAGCGTCGCTGTCACTGTTTGGGCCGGGGGAGCAGGTGCCTGTGCAGATCCTTCTCCCAGGTGAAGTCTCTTCTCGCAGGTGTGCACTCCCCCGCGCCTTGCAGCGGAGCAGGCGCGCAGCAAGGGCAGGGGACGAAGCAGCCGCTGCCGTCGCGCAGGACGCGACCGTAGCGGGAGCTGCTTGGAAGGGGCCGCTCACCGGCAGCTGCTCCGCCACACACCACGGGGAGCCGGCCCCGCTGCGGCACTGCGGCCACCCTGCCTTCTGCCCCGGTTACACCCGCTACCCCCTGCAAACAAAACAAAACAAAACAAAAACACTCCCCCTGTCTGGTGTCTCTGAAAAAAAGGGTGGGTTTTTTTTTTTTTGTTTCTTTCATTTAAAGACTACCCAGGATAGTTCACACTTGAATTCTCCATTATCTTAGTGAACGATTTTCAAAGCAAACTAAGTGTAATGTGGCAGTCTCCTCAGCCCTGCTCTCAGCACATCTTTCTTTTCCTGTCCTGTGCAATGTTTCCTAGTCCTCTACACGGTTTTCTAGACTGCTCATTTTATTCAAACTCTCTCCTTGTTTCATTCCCTAAATTCCCTCAAATCCTCTCCTTTTCTAATCTCACGGTCTCTGCTTGTCTTTGGTCAAAAAGCCAGACTCGCTTCTGGCTCAGGCATGCTCCCAGTTTTCTTACCGCCGTAAGCAGGTACATTCATACTTTCTCCCACACGCTACTCCTCAGGCTTGGGAGCAGCCTCCTTCAAATCACAAACAAGCCCCGCTCACTTCCAGGCTGCTCTTAAAACTCCTTTGCAAAAAGTGAAATGTCAACAGATTTGCTGAGAATCTTGTCAGCAACACCCATTAATCGGGTCCTCCTGCTCCTCTTTTCCCACCACCCGTGTCTTTTTGTCTACTTGGAAAGCAGTGGTAGCACATACAAAGCCTGAATTTCGTTTGAGAGCTGCATTTACCTATGGTCAAAGCATCTCTTTAAATAAAGAAAAAGCAGAAATGTAAAAATTAAACCCAAAGTGTTTTAAATACATACATACACACACACACATATATATATATGAAGAGTATATATGTGTGAAGCCTATATAAATATATACACACAGATATGTATGTGTTCATGTGTTTGCACATTTCTCCTAACACATTAGTATTGCTATGGCCACCCAGGTAAAAGAAAGCCCATCTTTACAAACATTAGGTTTTTCTTTGCGGAAGAACACAACTAAGAAATTAAATGCATTCACATATCAAAGAAACTCTCAGTTCAAATAAATACTGTGCATTTATTTACCTTTGAACAGAGGCAGCTCCCCCACAACATGATAGTTGTGGTTTTGAGTGTTTTTAGATTTGTGTGCCCTTGACTGCAAATATACTCCAGATAAACACATATATTTAAGAGATGGGAGTCCTCAATTACAGACTTTATTTTCTTGAACAAACTGTTAGCTCCAGTTTAATTGGTCAGACTGGCAATAAATATAACACTGTAGCACTTGCTACATAAATATGCCCAAAGACAGCCATACACTTTGCCAGTTGCCCAGTACCCTGCAAGGTTTTGCTACATTTTTTTTTTTAATTTTATTTCAGACAAAACTAATGAGAGCTCTTCTTTATCCCATGTTCACAAGTAATCACATGGATTAATTGCTACAGTGCATTTGCTCACGTAAGAGGTAGGACGGAACTTTTAAACCTAATTTGAGGTGATAGAAAACGCCTTTGCCCGGCCCAGAGCCCCATTTTGCTGCGTGGCAGAAGTTACGGCTTTGAGAACTCAGTGGCTCGTCAGGCAGATTCCCCCAGATGCAAACTGCTCTACGTGTGTGTTTCAAAGTATCACACGACAGTCTCGGAAAATCCCTGCTAAATTATTCTAACCTTGTCACAACGGATAATAATGCCAGCCTATTAGTGAAATCTTACTGGGTGTTAAATCTTGCCTTTACTATAAGCACTGTGAATATCTTAGGGACTCCAAATCCTCTCCACAAGGAAGCGCTCTGCATTTCCTTGCTGCCTAAAAACGCTGCTTGTGTCACACCTTAGAAATAAGCCGTACAAGGAGAGATGCCCATTTGCGCTGGACAAAGCCCTGCTCAAGCTGTGCAGAACATGCTCCTCAAATCCACCAAAATGGTCCAGGAAAGCTCTGCAACAGGGTGGAAACCAAGTTCTTTTCCAGCTTTAATGTTTGAATCTTTCTTCTGCGGTTCTTGTACGAAACAGGAACCGCGCTGGGCTTCAGAGGGACCTTCCTTGCTTTTTCGAGTGGAAATCACTACCTGGAAAGACTTTTGTGCAAAACCTGGTTTGTCAGATGTCTAGGGGAGTTCTCAACTGACATTATTACGTCCTGGATTTTACCTCTTGTGTTTGAGTACATTTTCTGGAATGCCCAGCAAAAGGGGGTTTTCCACGCGGACGTGACCTCTGGATACCTCATGCCCCTAGCAGTATAAAAGGACTTAAGTTTTGAGAATCCCCACGTCCCAGGCTACCCTTCTCCAAGGTTTAAAATCCCACAGAATAAATGCCAACACGTCTTTGCTGTTGAGGTGGGCAGTGCCTGAAAGGGCACTTGTCATATTTAATTCACACTGGCCTAGGTGATAAAACACTGTTATTTCCTACAGATAAATGTTTACTTCTGAAACAATTCACTACTCTTCATAGCCACTTGTTAAAAAGGAGTTGTGGAGGAAGAGTCTGAGTATTTCCAGAGGAAATGTATAACTGTTTCAAAACACTTAACTAATTTGCATATACAAATTACTGTGTTTTTATTTTAGAAGAGATACTCACATTAGTCCTTCATATGCCAACCAGTTTCCAGAGTTGTCCAGGAACAGAAAAGTCTCTAACTTGCACAGAAGTGCTACGCAGCTTCATAGAAACAAAATGTTTCACTTAAAAAGCAGACCCTGCCTAAAAAATGTTACTACAGCAGCAGGCCAAACCTTGAAGCAAGCTGATCAAAGCCCAGGAAAACACACTCTCATGCCAAGCAGTTTCTTAATACACTTACCAGGATATATTAAAACATACCCACCATACACTGACTTCATGACCAAAGATGAGAGCATCTGATGTCATTTCTGAGGGAGGACATGAGTCCACCCGAAAAACTTCTTATCAGCCAATCAAAAAAAAAAAAAAAAAAAATCCTTCTCTCCCCCAAATGCTATTTTAAATTCAAATCCATCCCATCCCAAATCTCCCTGTCCTGTAATTTCCTTGTTCATTTTCCAGACCACACTAAGCCTACACAAATACATACTTTGATAATTTGGATTTTCAAAATATCCTTCTCTCCTCCGGCACTCTTACACCAATTTCCTTCTGTACCACCTGCTATTGCCTTTATTACGTCTCTGATGGCTCACATCTTATTCTAAATGTATACAGAGCCACAGAGAACACACTACACAAACAAAAGTATGTATATGCAAACATACATAAAATACATAAGGTGTAGATCCACTTCATCGTGGAGTTGGCAGTCTGAAATGTCCCGTTTCTTCAGCTTTATTTTTCAGAGACGTGGCCCTCTTCCCAGCTCACCTCCCCAACTCCTAAGCTGCTGATAACTGAGCATTGGTGAGGGCATTGCACTGCCTTGGTGCTGGTGTCCTGCAACCGGCTCCTGGGTTAACCTGAATAAAACTCTCTCAAGGTTAATATTCCAGTCTGCGATCACCAGCTAGTGTTGCTTCCAACAGTGAAGATTCAGCAAATGCAGGGAAATCCACATCTTTGACAGTAGAAAACTAGAATTATATAGAAAAGTTAGCTTTTTCTTTAAGACAGCAGGTAGCCAGGTCAAAAAATGAAAGCAGCACATAGGACACTGAGCTTACACGAATTATGATATGGGAATCTGCTTGAATCAGCCATGGAAGTCACTCAAATGCTCTCAGTTCTGATCTTATCGTATCATTCAATCGCCTTTATTGCTTTCAGTGAATACCTTCATGCCCCGTAACTGAACAGCCACCTACTCGGTTTGTAAAATCCACATTTACAGTGGTCACTTACCACAGCTTGCAGTATGCATATAAAATTTCTCTTATCCTATGTGTGCGTTATGTGCTGAATGACAACTTTTATTTAAAAAGGTACTCAAGAAATAAAATATTACAGGCATTAATAAAGCTTTCTGAAGAAAGACATAATATTCCCATAACCCTGTATTGAGTTGAAAAGGAAGTGACCTTCAAACATCTTATTACTGTAACCAAAAATCAAGTACTGTAAAAATAACATATAAGCTAGAGGAATTAAACTGGTAAATGAAGAAAATATGATTTTTGTTGACAGATAAATGCAGCTTTTTGTAGTTGTTGCAGCTTCTTTTCCTAGTCATTAAGCCTGACAACATGTCCAAAAATGATTCACAAGGGAAAAAAAAACCCACCATTTTTTAAAAATAAATTTAGATCATATCCAGTAATAAGTAGAAATTATAGTTATCTCCAAATGGATAATAGAAACCATCAGTTGATCTGAAGGCCGGGGCACGGTTCACGTCACCCGTCACCACCGCTTTGAGTCACCACTCACGTGGAGCCGGATCCCTGTGATCCCCCTTGCCGGGGCTGCCGCGGGCACCGGCCGCGCTCCGTCCAGCAGGTGGCTGCCATCCTCCGTCAGACGGGCACAAACCCGCCGAGCACACGAGGCTCCGCCGCGTGGAAACCATCAGTGTTGCAGGAGAAAATTAGTGGCTACGTTTAAGTCATTGTTTGAAGCCCTCAGGGCTTCTAGAGCATCTCCCCTGGAAAATCCCATTTCCATAAGTCGTGCAACCTGTCAGAGAAAGAGCAGAAACTCACTTTTAAAACATTATTGAGACTATGTATGTATTACGTAGGTAACAGGGACAGAGGGACTTTTCCCACTGCTGGTCCGTGCAAAAACCCTTCTACCTAGCAAGCAAGCCTGCCTATTTGCCTTTATGAGGGCGTACGGGGGACGGCATACTTCACTGATCTTGAAAACTGCAACAGATCAGAGATGAGAGCTTTCTGGCAGTTTATTCAAAAAGGCACATTTTCTGAAAATCCCACGCCTGCCTGTTTCTAGCTGACCCACTTTGGGAGAAGACTAAAACAGAAAGGAGGTTGGTTACCTGGTAGCACCTTGGAGGTCCGGCACCATCTTCACAAAGCTGGTACTGACCACAACGTGGGACTGTAGAGCAGACACACAAATCTGCCCATACATAGTTAACCCTCCTTCCCTTAAAAAGAACTGCTTCTCCGGGGTCTTTACAGTGACACAGCCAAACATTCACCCTGAGCGGTTTTAAAGGAAATCTAAAACTCAGCCCTGAAGCAGCGGCAGTATTTTAAACGGTTCAGTTGGACACGACAAAGGACTCTAAGTGTCACCAAAACAGCGTCAGTCACGACATCTGAGGGATGACTAACCTGCAAACTGTCACAGTAAGTGATTTTGGTAATCAATAACTGCTCAACCATTCCTCTTCATGCTATCACACACTCCTGGCATCTGGACGTTTATCCTTGGTGCTAGCAGAAGCTCAAACCATCAAGCTTACGCTTTTTACAGCGTAGATATAGCCAAATTTTAATGCAAAAAGCAATGTAGCTATACCAACTTAATCTCCACCATGCTTAACTTCAATGGTTGAACTTCAATCTAAAGTTTCTTTTAATCACGCTTAAGTGTGATTGCAAGCCAGAATATCACTGCAGAAGACTAAAACCCAACAACTTGAGAAAAAGGCAGGCAGGGGGCAGCACATGAAACACGGAGCGCTGCCACCAGCAGTGTCGGCATTTCCAGGCAGCCTGGTAGCAGCCACGGCAGCTCCTGAACCTGGGAGCCCGGAGCCATCACTGCTCCTCCTTGGCAGGGCTCCCATGAGGCTCCTGCACACCCGGGAGCAGCAGCGGCTCCTGCGTGACGGGAGGAGCCTCCTCCGGGTACAGCAGCAACGGGCGCTTCCCAGGGAGCCCAGGAGCTTTGCTCGTAAATCTCAGCGGCAGGGAAAGCCCTCAGCCTTTGACACTTTCCCCTCTTCCCCTTTACAGCCCGACATGGCTTCTTATTGTCTTGCAGCAAGAGCCGTGAGCTGTTGCTTCAGACACCTCTGCAACAAAAATCCAACTTCAAAAAGGATGCCATAACCAGCAACGGTCTCCAGGCTCCAATTTTTGATTTTTCAGCTAAGATTGTGTTTTTAAGGGAAAGGGGCCAGACACTATAACAAAAGGCAACCACAAAAATACACTTCAGAATAAAGGTTCTTACTGTGGTTGCCATGAATCATTGCTTTGAAGAAGTGATGGAGAGGTGTGCAATGCCCCCATTTACCGAAACGTCCAGCGGGCATCACAGGGAATACATTTTAACAACAAAAAGCTCTGTTTGTCTAAATGTTTAACCACAGGAACTCAAATCTAGCTCCAGTAAACAGCAATGCAAGTTAAGGTACTTAACCTACAAGAAATGGAAAGACTTTTGTACAAAAAGCTTGAAAATTTTAAACAGAAGAAAAAAACCTTGCATTTCTTTTGTTCTAAGAAAACTTATATTGCTAATTAACACTATCCTGAGAACTCGAGGTGCTTAGATTACACTTTTCCTTTCTCAATAACCAGGCAGCCTTCCCAATCATGGCAATCAGCTGATCTCTACAACTCTCTATCATTAAATGTAAGTATATATTGAAATGCTTCAATAAATCTGGGCCTAAAGACTTTGGGTCAGAAGCCAGCATAGGCCAGAGTAATTTTATTAGTTCCAGTCCAACAACAAAAGCTTCAGTAAGCAGTATTTGTCAATAATAATAATAAAAACAGACACCAGGGAAACCTTAGTTGTCCACTCCATAGCTGGCACTGAAAGGATTTCAGGCTGGTCCGAAATACACTTCAGGTCTGACTGGTCTAAGAAGCCATTCTTGGGATTGTTTTTCGGTTAGGTTTTGTTTCCCTTCTCCAGCCCAGCAGGCATTCAGACCAAACCACTGCTGCAGTAACAGTTTCGAACATCCTGGATGCAATTTAATCATGAATCAAAACTAGAAATCAGATCATACTGAACATATCTGTTTGAGTCTATCTCATTTTAGAGTCCTGAAGAGAAAATTTATCTCCTTAAAAAAAAAAAAAAAGAAACCCTCCTTTGAAACCAAAAAAGGTCACCAAACCAGCTAACTGAAAGACAGCCTAAAACCTGTCACCTTGATCACACACACAAAAATCCTGAACACAAAAAACAAGACTTTCACTTCTTAAATTTCCTAGTAGAACATGAGAACTCAATTATAAACGAAAGCACAGAAAATGCCTGAATCTGTAGTAGGCAGAAAAGACACAGATTTCTTTGTGACATCAGTATGTGAGATCAATCAACCACACATATATATGTATATTTATATATACGTATATATACACAAGAGACAAAAAGTTGCACATTAATGCAAAAACTTCCAGGCTAATCTGCAATTCTAGTTTGAAAGGTAAGGACTAATCACTATATTGTGACTCTCACCTGATATCCTAATTTGCGCTATTGTAGAGAAATAAATTGAATCAGTGGAGGTAACTCCCGAACAGTTTTTAACGACATTTTAAAACATGAAAATATTTACCTGCTCTTCAGAAACCTCAGTAGGTGGAGGTGTTTCTTGATCAGACGGGCGATGATCTTGGTAATTTGCATTATGTCTATGACGCAAAGGAGGAAACAGTCTATTCCAGTTAATCATCCCACCCTGAAAACAGACATTATTGGTAGTCTTTTCAAAAGTAAATAGATGTTTTTAAAGAAAAAAAGATAAAATAATACATAGTATAAATACATAGTATAAAAGGTGAACCTTTAAGTAAGATACTTTAGCTTAAACAACAAAAATTGCTGCAGTTCTTGAGGGCCAGCTCAAGTTTCAGGATACCTGTGATAGACTTTCCACATAAATGATTATTTCTGTGGCATCAGTGACTCTGCTAAAGACACACGGACCTTCTCATTTGACACTAATGTATTAAATAGCATTGCAAAATCTGGGTTTGTTCCAATGTGAAAACATTTTGTAACTACACGCTAATAATAAAAATACAGAGTAGTAATGTAAGTATAATGTAAGTCACAGAACTCAAAAATTTCTTTTGTCAACCAAGCTTACAAAAAGTATCATAAAAAAAAGACATTTAGAATCTAAAATTCAAATAGTAAAGTGCAAGTGTTATAATTATCCAGAAATAGTCCATCTTCATTTTATTAAAGAAATACTTTTGAAGGGATTTTGCGCTGCATCACAACCACAGTCCATCAAACCCCGCCAAATCTCTGCATTCCTACAATTTTTTTGTGGTTTGGGTGCTGTCCTTGTCCTCCTCCCCCACTCCCTCGGTTCCTATGGAGAAGGTCCCCCTGCCCTTCTGTATATAAAGGGCATGGACTTCCTTCCTCTAGCTGCTCTATTTTAGTGCTACAGTGTCGCTTCTCAGAAGACCTTCCTCTTCAGAGAGGCTTTTCTCTGCTCTCAGCTAGGGCTCTTCCTGCCTTTATGCCCTCCTCGAGCACAGACGCACTCGCCGGGCTACCAGCTCATCGGCGGCAGCCCAACCTGCTCCCAGACACAAAATAAAGTTTCATTGATTTAGTTTCCCCGCCCTTTCCTCCGGTTTCTTCCTTTTGGTCTCAGGAGGAGACCCAAGGAGCGCAGACTCCGCAGGGGGCAGCACACGTCAAAGCAGCGGCGCCTTCACGATGTCTGAGGCGCTACCTCGTGAGGCACCTCTCGAGGAACATGTTCCAGCCCCTTACCCTACAGGGCATTTTGATTTCTCTGGGAAGATGGGCGTATCAAGGAGTTATTACCAGTTTCCAATACATAGTTTCCGCTATTACTGATTTGGAATTGGAAAAAAATCTGATGCATCTATATTTACATGATACATATATAAAGCACTTGCTCAAGGTTACCGAGTTTTAATTGAAGGATTCCATCTAAGCTTTGAGTCAGCCAAAGAGAAAAGGAGAAATAGTCGCTGGTTTAAACACAGGGATGGATCTCAGAGCTACTCCTGACACCACTGTGCTGCTACTCTGTGGTCCTGGAAAATCACATGGCCTGTAACTTCCCCATCTTCAATTTCCTCTAAGTCAAAGACATGTTGAGTTTTAATTCACCAGTTTTGAATTTCCAGAAGTCCCTGAAGCTCTACAGTTCAGTAGAAACAGTGAATTAATTCTGCCTGTACCTATTACCCTGAAAAGACCTAAGGAGGAGAAAACAGCCCCTCCAAGGGCCATCCAAACAAAACTGGTCAACTGAGAAAGGTCAGCAGACTGTGACACATTTCTTTGTAGCACCAGCTCCAAACTCATACAGCATAATAAAAAGCAATCTACAATATATGTAGTAATTTATCAGTACCCTGGTCTATCTGAAGACGGAAATCAATGTACGTTTCCAGCCGTGCTCGCAGCTTCGCTACCAAACCACCGACTCCAGCCTGGTTTCACACCCCATGAACCCTCTGTCACATAACACTACAGAGAGACTTGTCTGCCTCCTCATCCTGATAACACTTAGCAAATTTTTAGTTAATACATACACAAAATCCATTATTTCCAACAAAAAAAGAGTCCCAGCAGATTCATTGTTAACTAGTAAGATTTGCAGCTTTGTAATAACAATTTTGGTAAACTACAGATAGGTACTGATGTATTCAAAACATTTCCATGAAAAAAAAAGTTATTCCTTTCCTAGAAATAACTGATAGAGTAGAAAAAAATAGATCAAAATAGCAGTGAAAAATCCTAATCCCTTGCCCTCGGAATATTTCAATTACTGTTCAAAATTGTGACAGCCATAACCCTTAAATATATTAACAGCGTAAGAAATCTGAAATACAATAAGTATTACGAGCTGAATCTCTGTAGAGCTATGGGAACATTCGTGCTTAGGATAAACCACAAGATACTCCAGGGGGTCATCTAGGTCATCTACTCATCTGTGCCTCACCTTACTAACCGCATCAAAGCCTTGCACTTCACGTGTCTTGATCCTTAACTGCTAGATTTTTTTCCCCCTTCCAGGCTTGCCTGCACTCACACGCTGGATACATGAAGTCAGGTTCCCATGAGCAGAGATTCGGGGAGCTGCAGCGGGAGTTACTGCTGGCCACGCCACGGAGTGTGCCTAGGAAGTGCAGCTGATGTCAAAACCCTGGCAGAGCTTTCAGACTCACAGAGGATGGAGATTGAGATCATGGATGGCAATGGTGTTAAGAGCTTAGAGATAACCTTAAAGCATCAGAGCAGAAATACTTGAAGATCTGAGAAACCAATTTGCCAAATCGGAAACAGCAAAAATGTATTAAGTAAATCTCAAAAATTCCAGTTATAATCAGGCAGAAAGAGTTTTCCAGACCAACAGTCTGCCTTGCCTCACAAAAATTATTTTACAGATCTCTTCTCCCCTTCTGCAGGGGGTTTTGACCATACTAACACACTTGGCAAAAGCTCAGAAGATTTCACATAAAGGTATCCAATCTGATGAATTCATTTAATCAATGCTCCTAAACCATCTGCAAGTTCTCACTGTGAATTAGCACTCGTGCATATTCCAGAACACTTAGGGTCTATATCACCCTGTGCCAGCAGCAAACAGCTCACACCCCTTACTGCTATCCCACTTGCACAACAGATTTGCCTCAGACTAACTCGCCTGGTCCAAAGCAGGGGCCGAAAAGGAGCCAGAGCTGGGAGCCAGGCCCCTGGGGAGCTTCCTGCTGCAATTCAAGGACTTGAGGCTGTGAACTCACTCTTCCCTTCCATTCAGCACTCTGGATAGTAGGGACTCATCATGTTATCTACGCTGCTCATATCTGCTTTCTTAGTCCATTTTTTTCACAATTTTGAGGCTGCTGAATGATTTACTATAGCAAAAGAAAAATTTCTTTGCATATCCCATTTCACTACTGCTTCGTGTACGCTCCATGCCCTATCCTCCTATCAAACAGTATGCAGTTGTCATACTTGCCTTACTAGTGCTAATCAGAAACTGCATTTCAGAAAATGCTGGCTTCTGATACTATAAGAGAAAGACAATCAGTGAAAAATCAGTGTACTATCTATCACTCATAGAAATACTTCACATAGGTGACTGGGCCCTTATTTCTGTCTGCTACAGCTGTCTATGTCAACAGGGAAAACACTTGACAAAAAGATGGCTTCATCAGTTAGCTGAACAGAGGAGTGATTCAAAGACCGACCTACAAGCTTTTCTGCCTCCTAAGGATGCCATTTGCAATTTAAAAACAACAACATCAACAACAACTGTTTCCTTGGATATTTCATCTTTCTCTTAGCAGTGCAGGACTGGGTGAATGGTGTGTTTGTGAATTCTTTGCTACTGGCTGATAGCAGAGAGCTGCTATCATTTTTGTGGGTGCTGGTCCCAAATAAATCATTACCAGAAGCGGATTAGGAACCTACTGGTGATGCTGGAAGTTACCTATCACAGCAAAGTGACAGACCAGTCACATACTCCTGGTGACAAAAGAATGAGATCTAAAAATAGAATGGGTTAAGAGAAGAAGTTCAAGGCAGCTCTATCAGCACAATAAGCGAGAACAGGGAATGCTGCACTGATGAATTTCTCTTGGCTAGCTGCCAGTGCTTTACATACAGACGTTGTGCTTGGTCACGTCACATCCTTGATGTCCGTCTTCTGCATTTTATGGTGTCTGGAACAATACTGTTTACATATAGGAACAAGGAAGTGACATTCGCACCAGTCTAGAGCAAGCAAATATCCCTGGCTGGACGGCTTGCTGAAGCCCCAGTCAGCCACTCAGCTGAAGTAATTGCCTCGCTCTTTTTGAAAAAGCTCTACCTGTTTTGCATAGACACGCTTGCGGTGGCATATTCTGCAAAAGCACTCCTTACGCAACGCTTGAAAAAACAAAATGCCATGCTAAGGACAGCTAATTATCCACTTTAGGAGCTATCACATTCGTACGCGTTTTAATTAATTTCAAAAACAGTTAAAGAGAATTCTTTATAAAAGTCCTCTTGAGAGTGATGCATGCGGTTAAGATATTTTGATAATGTTATCTCATATATATGGTTAATGCCAACTCGCCATCTGTTTGCACAAACAGGAAACACCTCCTGATATCTGTCCTGCTCACCTTTTCTTAACACAACAACCACAGAGAAAGAAAAAAAAAAAAGGAAATAGCTTTGCATAAGCACCGTCTTATTTCATATGACACTATTAAAAAAAGAGAAAATAAATAATATAGGG